AAATTAACTTGAAAAAGAAGCTAATTCTTGCTTTACCTTACCAAATAAATGTTTTTTGCTATTGTTTTTTGTCAGTATATGTTTGAACAAAATTCTTTATTAAGCTTAAACAGATGCATTGTTGTTTTTTTTACTGGCTAAATATATTTATTACTGAAAAACCGGTGGAAAATTGCCTGTTGGATACAACTCTTCAATATAGCTTCATTGATCTTCTTTAGGTTTGTGGATCTTCATCAGTATCAGTGCCTGTGTTTGGGTTTGAAACCCGGGGTGCTTGGGAATTAGTCAATTCTCCTTCACCCCACTCGTGTATTGTGTTTTTACTTAGTGGAAAGAAAAGAAAAGAAAACTTGGCAATGGATGCTCGCCTCTCATTTTGACAGAGGGAGAAATAAGAAAAACTAAAATAATAATGATATTTTTCATGAGCATAGATGATAAGAAGGCGTCGCATTAGCTCAAATAAACGGCCAAATTAACTACTTTCTAACCAACTAACAAACAAACGACCTTTAATAATTCAGGGTGGCAAGAATCTATTAATCAAATGCCATAGATTTAGGTGTGTGGGAAATGGAAGAATCCCGAGAAACTCATTTTCACTAGCCGAGCGCCGAATACTTTACTCAATTAGTGCCCAAAATGTTACGTAAGTAACGGCTGGAATAAACCTGAAAAAAAAACAAAAAAAAAACAGAAAGCTAGAAATAGTGTAAAATTGCCTTATTAAAAAGCACAAATTAACAAACTCGACAAGAATTTTTATATTTGGATTTTCTAGACTGGAAAATCGGGATGCGTCTCACGAACTATTGACGGCATCTTTGAAGTCTTATTTCATTAATTTGTTGAGGGTATTGATAATTCTCTCTTGGGGCTTGTCAATCCATTCGCCGATTAGTTTTGCAATATATCTTTCTCGGAGTCGCCTTCCGAGTCAGAGAAATCAGGAATTACTGGAATGGCTACTTGGATCCGTTTGTTCTTGGTTTTTGGTGCTTGTAGTCTTTGTGCATCGTTCCACAGTCGATGGTTTGTAGCTAGGTGTAGAGTCAACAATTTATTTTTCTACTGCTGGGGTTTGGGTAGATTGGTCAACGCTAATTTTCTGACTGGTTTGGAGCTTACCTTGTTGTAGAATGGAAATGTAGGCTGTACAGTCTTGGCCAAAATGTTTGCATATGTTGTAAAAAATAAGATTATTATTAAGACAGAATACAAGTGCTCTTAGCGCTGTCAAACTGAAAAAATGCATGTTATAAAAAAGATCTACATATGTAATTTGTATAATGAGACAGGTTTTATGAACATCATGAACGATTTATCAGAACAGCAAACAATTTTATCAGACAACTGTAGAAAGATGCGTAATTCAGCGTTTTACCTATCACAACAAAAACCGTACCAAAACATATATAACGACAAAATATAATATTAAATTATTATAAACAGCATCTGTACCATTTATCAGTTCATATGAAACATTCGGTACTTGGCTAATCCTCATTGTACTCTAATAATCTCCGCAAGGTGACGCGGCAAGCTGTCGATAAGGTTATTGATGTAATCCACCATGATTTCATCTCAACTTGTCACCAGAAGGCGCTGTGACTCAGCTACACTGTAGCTGGTTTAGGGTCGTGGTTAGCAGTTTTTCGGCTTAGTTCTGCCCAACTGTTCTCAATGCGATTAGAATCTGGAGACTTTGTTGATCATGGTAATCTTGTAACGTCCTTCAGGTCAAGTTAATCCGATACAATACGCGCACTGTAGGCAGTGGCATTGCCATCTTGGAACATACAGTTATTGCCAAACCTTTCCCTAGCATGTGGCAAAAATATCGTCTCCATGTGATGATTGCAGGAGGCACTATTGACGTTTCCCTGGAGGATAAGAAGAGCAGCTTTTCACTGTG